AAATAAATGTTTTGAGAGTAGAAAAATATTTGCAACATATCAACAAACATATCAGAAAATATTTTCATTGACAAATTAAACACCGGAAAATTATGAAAAAAGGAATTTGGAAAGTATTTTCACTTAATAACCAAACACTGGAAAATTATGGAGTAGGAAGTGATTTTCCAGGAAAATTATGGGGAAGGAAGTGATTTTTCAGGAAAATGATTTCGTTGGAAAATATTTTCCCTTCAGTCCAACCAAACGGACCAAAATGTAAGAAATTTTCCTCAAGTATACTTGTCTACTAGACAGCTTCAAGTTCCGCCTGTGGTTGTAGAACGATTCCGTGAGAGTTGTGGGGCGCGAAAGTAAAGATAAGTGTATTTTTGTAAGGTAATTGTTGTTTGAAGATGGCCTTTCAAGAACTTTAGAAGAGTGTATAACTGGTACATATATCACCACTCATGCCATACACCTATAATTGATGCATATATTACTGATGTACATGAATTACTCAAAAATTTAATTGATGCATGCATGATAGTTTGATTTATGCTTTACGAATGTATTGATCTAGTTCATGAACATCGGCTATTACCAACAAAAAAATACAAACAAACAAAAATGAACACAGCCACTAATACTAATTATACCTTGTGATTGATGCATGTATGCAGATTTTTCCAGAAGCGTGTTAGCCAGAATTGTTGATTAAATGTGAAAGATCTTGAATTCATGGCAATTTATTTACAATCCCTTCCATTTTATCACTCAGTCCAATCCCTCTCCTTAGTCCCCTAATATGAGTTTTATCCTTCTTTTCTCAAACATGTGATTTTTTTTTCATAAAAAGTAATCACTGATGGGACGGGTTTGTTCATATTGAAAGTGCTGGTGAAGAAACACTTGGAAACAGGAGGGTTTCTCCTTTTCTTTCAACCCTATGATGTTCTTGGCATTATTTGGTTGTCTCGCGGGGAAAACAAATTGATCTATGATGCTCTTGGCGTTATTTGGGACGGCAACTTTGCACAACGCGGTTGGGATTTGACGGGAAGGGATTCCTTGACACAGGAACCAATAATTTGTTTGGATTTTCAAGTGATATATACGTTGTAATTTTGAGGGTTAATCATGACAACTCCCCCTAAAGTAAGGTTGGTTTTGCGGTTTATCCCTTAATGTATTATTTCTCTCTCTCTCTCTCTCTCTCTCTCTCTTTATCCTCTTTACTAATGATCAAAGGAAGCTTTTTGTACTGGCGTTAACTGTTTAGCATAGAAAAGTGCTTTATTTGTTAAGATTTATTTGCTTGTGTTATTAATACATTTTTTAACAATCTTTTTAGCTCGCATATATTATATCAAAAAAGCGTTACAATATTTTTTTAAAAAATTATCCCAAATAATCTCTTATTCAAACACACTTGTTTGGATAGCTAAATTTTTTCAAATAATATTTTGCTTCAATCATATATATATTTCCTAATCCATCTTTTCATATTTTCAATCGTCTTTTTATTTAATATACATCACATCACATCATAAAAAGTACTACAGTAAGTATTCAAATAATACTCTATCCAAACACACTGCATGATTCTGGGGCTGGATGAAGGCCAACTCGTCAGTACTTGTGGAAAGACCGTTGTTGTATTAATTTGGACTAGCTAGTTGCTAGATTGCTTCTCATAATGGAGTGAATTGGCGGAGCCTAAAAGATCAAACCTCTTTGAGTATAATCGTGAGCTCATTATGCGCTTTAGGGTCTGTATCGGTATCACATTTTGGGCCGCGTAGATAAACATTAGTTGGACAAAGTGCGCCACTGTATTAAATCTAATGACTAATGGTCCAACATTGGTAGCCTAGTAGAGGATACAAATTTTTTAAAGTAAATCGTGGATTCGTGTGGATTGGAGAAAATAATATGCTTGTGAAAGAACTATGTTCATAAGCAATACGTAAGAACTCCTATAGTTGTAACTGAGAGTGAACTATAATTCCACCCCAAAAACTAATCTACGATGATGATCGAAATCGAATCCATCAAAACCTTATTTAAAAAAAAAAGAAGAAGAAAGGATCATCAATTAGTCACCCATCGATCTTTGCATACGATAATGTATGTTTCGACATCCTGGAATATGATTGTAGAGCTTTCTTGGTGGGACTATGGGAGAGGTGCAGGTATCCCCAGCTGATATTCATGTTTTCTCACCCTCCATTGAAGACTCTTTCCTGTAACCCTATTATAGTTGATTTGAAATGATCAATCAGTTGGTACATGAAATCAAATTGAGCTTGTATAAATGTATAACTACAAATGGTTGGCTTACAAAGAATCTTCCGGAGGAAATCTTGAATTTCTTTTGCATCTAGACAAACTTTTCAAATGAACCCAACATACATATTAGCTTGCTGAAAGAAGCACAAGACGATTTTCCTGATCTTTAATTTTGCTTCCCTTCTACACTTTGTGTGCTACCAGATAGCAAGTTGGTGTAAAGTCTCCAAGTCTCTCTCTCTCTCTCTCTCGTTCCCGTGATAACTGATGCCACATTACAGACGTGATCGAATTGCTTGCACCAATCAAAAGATCAGAACTAGCTCCATGAATAAGGACTCTGACAGCCGAGATTTCTTTGTAGCAGCTAGAAATGTTTTTTTGAGGAGACTGCTATTGCCACAGTTAAGAAGCAACACTTTAAACTATAGTAGAGACTTGAGAGAGTTTTTCTCTGCTTAAGATTCTTGGTAGTGGATACTGATGTCAGAATTCAGGAGCTATTCAACTCCTGTTTGACCGTTTTCACTTTGCAGGTAGGACTGCAGTTATGTGCATCTTCAGCTTGAATTTTATGCAATGTGAATTAACAGTCAAGGAAGGGAAAAGGCATGCTATAGAATGAAGGAACTGTAGTATTTTGTAAACGTTTGCGGATTCAACAACTTCCCCTTCTCCAGAATTCAACAACTTCTCCAGAATTATCTCATGTCAATGGCCATGATCAATTTGCAAAAGATGTTCCTTTCTTCTTTTTTTTTTTTTTTTCAGACGCAGGGGTATCCGGGCCTTGGACCTGACTAATCCCCTTGCGGCCCAAGAGGAGAGGCCCCATCCTCTCGGACACATTAACCTTGGGACTCGAATTTTGGTAGGGGAGATGGACAACATTTTCTGAGAAGGGTACGTGACCAACCGAACTACCTAGAAGGAGGGGCTTGCAAAAGATGTTTCCAGTTGCATTAAACTATTGCAATGACTAGCCCGAAATTCTAGTACACGTTAGTGTTGCACAGAGGGACATCATATGGGCTAATGAGGCTATGATGCTAGGACTTGTGTGCTAAAATATACTAATTGATTAGTAGGTGTTATATCCGTCCCACATCGGTTAGATGTGGTTTCTTCAACCTAGGTTTAAGGTACACAGGAGCCCCTTCTTGTCACCAATTGGCTGGATGTGGGTTTCTTACGGGTCCCTCTTAGATTTACTCCTTGTGGGTCCTCTAACTGCGTACGCATTTGATAAAATATATAGTTCTTGCATTTTCTTGGATTCGGCAAGGGAATCCCATTGGATATCCTTTTTTTTTTTAAAAAAAAAAAAGAATCTCATTTGAGACTTGTCAATAAAATGTCATTATATTACAATATGGTTAAGCACTATACTATACATGCTTTAGGTCGGCAAAGCTATAGATATCCAAACTCCAAAGTAACAAGTTATTGATAGAGCATTTAAATTCTTAGAAATGGTTGCGCTAACCTAAGCTAAGCTACTTTTTTAGTTTATATTGCCATTTATGCGCAAAAGCTAAATGCTTGGCAGAGTTTCTCCCGATGTTATTATCCATTCATTGCTCACTATTAGAGGCGAATACACATTTTGTTTGCTAATTAACTCCAAAACTAGGAATGAATCTGTAGCATCTACAAACACATCATTTTTCAAAGTATCTGATCTTTTCTATTATTCTTTCTTGAAATAATTTATCGGATTCAGGTTCATAAACATACTTTTGTGTTTGGATTGCATTTTCCGTGATTTTTCATGAAAAAATTACTGTAGCGATTTGATGTATGTGAGAGAAAAAAGGTAATAGAGAAATGTAATTACGGAAAACGACGTAATTTTTCGACGGAAACCGGCAATCCAAACAAGGCTGTACTAATGCACGATATCTTGTAGCACTTACTTCTGAGACCCCTATCAGATAGTTTTACCTAGAAGAAATCTCTTGCAATTTTTTAGTTTGGTCCAAGTTATTGGAAAAACTTTTAACATCGGTGTAGGGTATGTTTGGAATTTGGATTGCCTTTTTCTAAAGAAAAATTGTTACAATTTTCTATGAATACATTTTTTAATCACCTTTTACCTCACATAAATCAAATCGTTACAGTAATTTTTTCACAAAAAGTCTAGAAAAATGCAATGTAGGTAGAAAATGGCGTAGGCCCGTAGCCTATATATAGCCAACATATATAAATATTCATACAACATATAAGAATGCTACTTACTACATAGATTGTTAAAAAATAGGAATCGTTATGCTTAGCACATTCAACTTTCGAAATTCAGAAATCAGAAGCAATACATATATATTTCAGTTATGAATATCACGATTGGTCACATCTGGAAATTATTTATATGGTCCACTATCTAAGGTGAAATAGTAATTGTGTCACTATGGAATTGCTCATATTACTAAAGCAACGTAAGTATTGCTACTGCACCAAAATTTGGGAAATTAATCTCACATTAGAAGACTAATACGAGTACGTGTGTGTATACACATATATATATATATATATAAACAAGCGTAGATTGAAATTTAGCTTAAAAATTCCAATCGAATATTCTTGAAGTTTCTTAATGTTAATTTTGCCTCAAACAACCTTCTCACTTCCGCCAAAGGGGGAAAAAAAAAAGTAACACATGCAGTCTCAATTGCCTATTTGTACAGTATTTTTTCATATAATTCCAAATGATTGCATACTTCACCAGCTAAGTCGTCTATAAACCACTATCAAAATCCCCATGACATTAACAGCTTCATATCCCAACATACATTCTCTCACACAAACTTCTTTTTGTATTATCTCTTCTTCTTTTCCAAAAGTAAGTTACCCAATCCATCAGAGTCCACTGCAACTGTAATCCGTCTGTCTCCGATCCTTTGGATAAACTAAGATTTAGCATGGCCTCAACTTGCATATCAAACTGTGTGGATGCCAAAGCCCCCGTCAGAGCCACCTATGTAAACCTCTACAAGTGGCCGGAATCCGACGTCGAATTCGTAAGGTCATTGAGCTCTAACGGACGCAAGAATGGCGGCGGCCACGGTGGTGCCGCTGGTCTCATGCATCCTACGGTGGTGGACAGTATTTCGTGTCGACAGTTATATTTAAGAAGCTACACTTTCTCAAGGGATGACGAGTTAAACGCAGCTAAACGTAAGAGAAGTTGTAGAAGATTCAGGGACAGGGTGTCTGCGGCTAACAAAAGAAAGCGAAAGCTAAGAGGCGGTGGTAGCAGCAGCTGTAGTAGCCATGGCTGCGAAGGTGGCGCCGGTAGTAGAAGGAAGAAACGCACGGGGTTTAGAAGGGCCAAGGAAATGTCATGTGTTGCCCTGGCGGCGATTTTCAGGCGGTTGCTTTCTTGCACCACCAAGGTTGATGTGGTTGGTTGATCATTATAAATAATATTTCTTCTTTTTTCTTTTCTACTTCTGTCTTTGTTGTGCATTTTTCTTATATTTATGTCGATAGAATTAAATGCTGTTTAAATGTTACTATATATTTGAAAAAAAAAAAAAGGGTTTGGTGCGTATGTAATCTACTTCTCCCCGTCGGAGTGCATGCCATGATTTATTTCATCACGGTGCTTGTAAAACTTCCATAAACTATGTACTTTTAGTTTTTTGAGGTTTTGATAAAATATTATCTGGTATTTTGATCTTTGAAGGTAATCAAGTTGATATAAATTGATAGATTTTGTAATTTGCTATAAGTGCTGGTCACAACCTTATTTTTTTTGGTTGGTGTAAATGGATTTCGATGCATTCAAGGAAAATATTTGTTTATGCTTCTATTAGATTGGCACGTAGTCTTTTGCAAGGAAAGAAATTGGTAATGATCCGAATATACAAAGCTCAATAGCTTTATTTGTTTTCGCCGGACGAAGGGAAATTGTTTTTCCACCTGGGTGAAACTATTCTTGAGCTAGCTTTGGAACGAGTCAAGCATGAGAATAATTACCTCCACTAATAAAAATGCGTCAGATTTCGTGGAATAGAAGTTGGGAATGTCCCAAAAAGTAACGTGTCTTCATGTTCTACCACTTGATGCCCATTTACCTCTTGGAAGTGCTGTACCTGCCACCACCACCTGTATATGCATAGTGGAAGAAATTGATCTCGAGTCCATTTCCTATAACCATACTTTTTCCTGCATTAACAATTACTCCTATAAATGTTTGTAGAATCATACTGTCATTCATAATGAGAAGGAATGATTTCTATACATGTAGGCCATTCATCGATTTTTTCTTCTTCTCTTCTCTTTCGTTTTGGGGAAATCAGTTAATTACTTGCTGAAGTTCAGAAATAACCCTGCATAGAGTGTTATGTAACCGAACTGATTGTGAAAATCAAACCTTATCAATTCTACCATAAAGTTGGCAAAAAGCCCATATGTCGAAGTATGCAGGACTGAGAATATAGCGTGGCAGCCTCAGCCTGTTGTCGCATCTAAATTAAGCGCTTTGGCTCTCCTCTAAAACCAACCAAAAAGAAATAAAGAATGCAGTTTTTTTTCTTTTTCCTTACAAAGAAGATAATGAAAAGAATTCTTTGAGCTTCTATTTTCTAACTGTCATTTCATATTTCATAGATTGTCGTTTCTTGATCCCTGACAAACACAAAACAACATGTATATCTTACAATATAACCAAAAAAAAAAAGGACCCGTATCATAATGCCGACCCGTATATATGCAAAAGGACATTCAATCACGGCAATTGTATATATGCCGACCCGTATCATAATAGCCTTACTCATGACTCATGAGGGTTGTCATTCATTTGAGTAGAGAGCATCTTCAAGGAGGAGAAGTAGGCCAAAAGAAAAGGTGCAAAAAGGCATAAACCGACCAGCAACAAGAAAATTCATCGAGTTGAATCAGTATCCCTATCCTTAATGGAACTTACAATGCACGTTTTGTTGGCTTTATCTTCTGTCTTAGTTTATGTTTCCTGTTTCTGGCTTAGTGGAATTACACACTGTCATGGTTTGTAATGAGTGAGTGCATCATTATCCCCCGCAAATGAAACCACGAATGCCAAATTTTCTAGTTTAGTCTTTGTTTTTTGGTTCCTCAACTTCATAAATCTTTCATCTGAAACTCTGAAGTTTTTATAGAATAATAATATGATATATATGAGGTAAACAAAATAATTAAAACATGCGTAAAAGAAATATTTGAAAAACTTGTCTCGAAACAGTAACAATCCAGACAGGCTCTTAATTCCATCGTTATAAAATTCTTATCCCATAAAACATCTAAATTTCAGTATAACCACTTTCTTATGTCGTACAATTTCATGGACTTTGCTGGACGGATTAATCCATCAGGCTACGTATCTGAGCACCGGTGATCACATGTTCCTGTAAATCGAATTCTTTAAGATGCCCATCACAAGGATTTGTGTGCGTGGTGGCGTTTGGTTCTTTAAAAATGGACTTCGCTAGTTACAGCAGATCAAACTCTATAACGTAGTTCTGTTATTTTTTTTCTTTTTTGTATCATGGGACAAACTCTACGGTGAAGTTTATCAACCCTTTTTCATTTTCCTCCAGTTGTCCACAATGCATTGAAGAAGTATTTGAGTGCAGTTATTGGATAGGAAGTCCAGACAAATATTTTTGGAAGCCTATAAATATACAAAAATAATTGCTGGAACTGATAAAGACAGAAGTATTTTGGACAAGCTTTAGCATTTTGGCCAGACGACAGTAGCGTACCGTGGCCATGATGTTAACTTTTGACTAAAATGACATGTAATCGGTGGGTAGATTTATTTTCTATTTGCTATAAATCCAACCGTTGCTTACCTGGTCAAGATCGCATAAATCTGAGGTAAATGCTTCACGTATAATTGCAGCAGAGAATTTGGATGTTCTACATTTTTTTTTTTAGTTTTTCTTTTAAATTTCTGTTAACCTTCCCCCTCCCCTAATCCTCCCTCCCATGAATCTGATAGACAGGTTCGAACCCTAATCTGTTAGACAAGGCATGAAGCCCCAAATTAATTATCCTGATGAGAACACATTTATCATAGCATTGGCTGAATCATTTCATGTTATTATCGACCTGACATGGCAAAATGATTTCATGCAACTCATAGCCTGACCTGCTCGAAAGGATACTCCATTGGACATTATGCCAGTATTCTAGGTAGGTATATAGTGGAGATCATCATGCATATTATTAGAACGGTGAACATATATAGCTTTCATTATATTCTTTTCATCTTTTCTTTTTTCGTTGGTTACTCCTCGATACTTTTTGCAAAGTTGGAAAGAGTTGAATCAGAGAAATTGTATTTTTAATCCGATCAAAAGTCAAAATTCATTTACCTGCCTACCATCGGTCCCAAATAAATAAATCAGGATAAAGGAAGGCAAGGCTATAAGAAAATAAATAAGAATGAAATTATGTGCATGACAGGCTTTTTCTAAAAGGTAAGTAAATCAGTAAATCTGATAATTAAATCACTCAAAACTCAAAAGCTATTTCTTGCTGATAAGGAGACCATCATTATTGCTTGGTTCCTCCAGAGTTAATTGATTTTCTAATTATTAGCAAAAAAAAAATTATAGTACTTGTGAAACGAGATTAGTGAGTGCATACAACGTGTTCTAGAGAAAACCCCTATATCATGGAAAAATATATTGGGTTATATATTTTCTAATTTCTCTTATATTATGTTTGGATTAAGATATTTGACGAAAGATTTGAAATCCTCTCAAATCTTTTTCAAGTTGTTGGATTACTTGAGAGTATTTGAGTTTATAATACACATAATTGATAGATTACAAATCCAAATATCTCCAAAATAATCCAAACAATTTAGAGGAATTTGAGAAGAATTTAAAATTTTCACGGAATCTGTTAACACAAACATCTTTCTATATATAAAGCATGAGAAGGGGGTTTGGTGTTAAAATCTTTTTAAGTTGTTGGGTTTCTTGGGAGTATTTGAGTTTGTGATACAAATAATTGATAGATTACAAATCCAAAATAATTCAAACAATTTAGAGGAATTTGAGAAGATTTTAAATTTTTCATTGAATCTGTTAATACAAACATCTTTCTATATATAAAGCATGAGAAAGGGGTTTGGTGTTAAAATTTTGTGTCATTTTTTGATTTTTCAATTTTGCCCCTATAAAAAGTAAAGATTTACTAAGGATAACTACTTAATTTACTAACTTCTAATAGCTTCCACACCCAATCACTTCTGTTTGTTTTTTATATATTTGTAAAAAAAGTCATACAAAAGTCATACAACTTCTTTTTTTTTTTTTGCAAAAAAATAATCCTAATGATTTTAATGAAAACAACTTACTTTTTTTTAAAAAAATTTGCACACCCATAGGGTGTCCTTTTCCCACTAGTAGTAAATTAAAGTAGAAACTAGGAGAATATTTTAGGGCTCAACATTCAGATGGGCTCCTATATGTGGACTCATTGTGCGGGTTTCTACGAGGATCAGAGGCTGTGATTTATTGGCTTACTTATGGCTGGGGCCTTACGAAGTTTTGGACATCCTGGATCTTGTTGTCAATCTCCGTCGGCCCTCCACATGGCCTGGTCCTACTTGTTTCATCGTGGGTTCTACCATGGGTAGCCTATTATAGCCAGCCTAGGTGTGAGAATGTAGACAGCGTGTTTTGGTTGCGCCTCCGGCAAGAGTAGGGTGCAAACGAGCCGAGTTCGAGTCGAGTTTTGGCTAATCGAGCCGAACTCGAGTTAATTTTGTGAAGCTCAAACTCGAGCTCGAGTTCAACGAATTCAAAATATCGAGCTCGAGCTTAAAAAATAAAAAAATAATTATTATTATTTTATTTTTAAAAAATAAAAAATAAATATTTATTTTTAAAAATGAATAAAACAATAATTTTTTTAACAAATAATAAAATATTAGGGATATATATGTAATTTTACTATTAAATAAAAAATAAAAAATAAATAATAATTGAGCTCGCGAGCCCAACGAGCTTAATGTTTTTGAGCTCGAGATCGACTTAATTAGTTCGAGCTCGATATTGACGAGCTCGTATTCGAGCCGCTCGCGATCGGCTCGATTCGTGAAACACCCCTAGGCAAGAGTCTCTAATTTTGCTATTTACACTCTAGTCATTTGTTTCATCATATAATTAAACAAATAAAAACTTGTATATAATTAAAATGATTGTGAAGGTGCAATCAACAAATTTAGATGTTGAGAAGAAGAAAACATAAAAAAGAGTTATGGATTCTATTAAGGAAATTTAGATCTGAACTTAGCAAATTGAAACTCAAATGTTAGGGGCTGGCTGACATTTAAACTCAAATGCATTTATTATTGGTAAGAAAAAAAAGTTGACGCCTCCCTATTCCCTGTCATTAAGGCTTCAACAACTGCTGATAAATATTGAAAGCATCCATCATGGCTTTTATAG